ATAAAAAGGAAAAAGACCAAAAAAAAAAAAAAAATTTTTTTAAAATCTATTTATGGTCCCTTATTGCTATGCAGGAACTTCACCTACAAATCCCAACTGGATCAATGAATTCCACTTTTTGGGTTTTTTTTTGTCTTTTTCCTTTTTATCGGTACCAGGGATTGAACTCATGACTAATAAATTCCACTTTTGAAGGCAGTAAGAACTATGGACATGAACAGATCAGGAGAAGTCCAATAGTATTTAACTGAATTTCAAAGTATTATTCAGTGCACTGTTCATTTTTAACCTGAGTGTATGCATTTCATAAGCCAGCGAAGGCAGACCTTTCAGAGCTTTCATAATGTATGCTATAGGTTTAACACCACTAGCTTAGGTCTTTTACCTAAAAGACAACCCATAAGTAAGCATATCTGTTTCTAAATAACATTCCCCAATGTAAGGAAACAAGGGATAGCTGGAGAAATGGCTTACTTTAGGCCTGGGACAAAAAGGATCAGATGAACTTAGAAAATTGTTCTGGCCATAGCTTTACTCAAAAAAATGACAAGGATATATATAAAACATGTAATATACCACTTGGGCAAATATGGGCAATGTAACCATCTTTTGAAAAAATGTATTTGAAGATTTTCTGATTTGGATTAACTCAGCTAAGGGGACACAGGTGATGTAAATGGCACGTCACACCTGTCATTTTCTGTCCAATAGTTTTAAGAAAAGTGTCTAAGCAGATGACAATACGAAACAGACGTTAAAGTATCAAGCATTAATCTGAGTAAATAATACATAAAAATCACAACTTAAAATTTTAGTTACAGGGGAAAATTACACAGCAACCAATAACCAAAAAAACCAATCTGCAATTTTACTAAGCGATTCACTACAGAAAAACTTGAATCCATTACGTCTTTATTCAAGGTTAAGGAAAATGAACAGCTCTGACAGGTTAACACTCTACCATCTTGTTCACTACTTCCAAACCCCATGCCTTAATCTTAGCACTTTTCTGACATTTCGGTTTTTCACAATCACAGGACTTCTATTAGCCTCCGATATTTTTTTATTAGCCTCCAATTAACCAAGGTCTACTTCAAATGTTATTACCTTCTGATAGCTGCCTCTATGAGTGCTATGTCTTACTTTGGTTCTTCTTCTACCTAAATTGCAGTTTAAAAATTCCTACACACCTTTGAAATCTTTGCTAACAAAGGCTTCAAGCACGTTTGAGTGTTCTAGCACAATCTCATGAAATTATTAGAATCACAACTTCCTGACTTTATCACGAGTAATACTTGTAAATCTATCAGCTTCTGGCACTTTAATGCCCCATTTCTATCATACTTAAGAATTATATAGTCAGTACATTTTAACTGATCTGATATACTTAGAAATGCAGTAGGTGTCAAATAGATGAAACAAGCTACCGAATATGCTGGCAGTGAAGATAAATCAAAATAAAACCTTGGACTGTAACTTGTTCTGCTAGAGTTCCACAAGGTAAGCAAACATTTCTAACAAATTTTAACTTGTAAGAGTGATGTTTTTCAATACTAGTATGTGACATGGTTACAGTGTCACACTGAGCCATAGTTTTCTCTCCACTCCATTCTACCAAGGATTATGGAGACAGGACTTCAGTGAAAAATCCCTCTACTTCAGATGATACTAGAGAGATACGTAAAATGGGGGAAACTAGCGAAAACTGTGCAGGAAAGCACCACCTCAGACGGCAGGAGTGTGAGCAATGTAATCTGTTTAATGAAATGCAATGTCCACTTCCACAAGAACCTCAAAAGGAGGTTAAAAGCAAGCGTCACTGGGTAGATTTAATTAAAGTTACAGAAAGATTCCAATGAGCCAAAAGACTCCAGTGATTCCATCAGTAACAGTCCTCCTACACAATTAACCCTCCCTCTCAGCTCCTTCAGACCAGCTGCAAGTTCTCAAATGTAAGTGCACGTTAATTCATCTTTCTTTATATTGTGTATTTTATTTTTCATATTATTGATAGTACTGTGATCATTTTTGTATCAGTATTTTTGGGTTGGGGAAGGAATCATCTGAATTTACATCTTTCCGGAACAATTGAGCTCGCAATCCAAATTTTATCACACATTAGTATGGATGACCACTTTACCCTAAGAAAAATGATTTCATGCAACAAGAATGTTTCCATTTCTCCAAAGTCACAGTAAATGTTAAGTGTATCTTAATTCAAAAATTTGTCTTTTATCGAGGTTGAAATTTATTATCTGTATTTTTAGACCAGTATACAAAAAACACCAGTCATTCAGTTAACTTCTGTTAGTAACTTACTATTACTGTTTACATTTACTTTTCAGATATTAGACATTAATGTATTTTAAATGGCAGTTACCTAAATTATAAACACATTTTCAAAACAAAACTGAGCTCATTATTACCAAGTATAAATAGTGGCAGAATGTCTTAAAAACTGAATTAGTGTGTATGTGTATATGCATGTATGTGTGACACACACACACACTTCTCTTTTGTAAAGTTCCTATAGCCAGGGATTTAGCTCAGCAGCATAAGTGCCTCCCTGCCAAGCACGAGGTCATTGAGTTGGATTCCCAGCTAATAAAATAACTTCCTACAAAGAATATATGCCTGTGAATTGTCTTGTACATTTAAAGTAACATTTGGCCTGATTTAAATAGTCAAAAATATAAAGGCTAAAATTTCTTCTAAGACTATTTTCTTCTAGCCTATACAAATACACTCAGATTTTAAACTGAGCCCTGAAATCACAGCACTCAAAAAGCATTTGAATATTAACTTCATAGGTCTATATGGTATAGTAAAGATTTTCACAAACAGTTAACTCAAAAGTTTTTGTCTTTGATAATGGCAACAGCCTGTAACTACAGTAAACTCACAACTTCATACTGTCTTACAAGCAGCAGTAGCATTAATTCAGTTACCTTAGGGCTGCTAATATACACCAACGACTACCACTGACCTAGTAGTTACAGAATAATGAAAATATTTCTATCAAAGCAAGTACCCTTTTCATGTTTGTTTAACATTAGAAGAGCTCAAAAGTAAACAGGTAGAATCCCATTTTTCTTTAAGTATCAACTCACCAATTCCACGTAATTATTTTCACATGTAAAACAGTAACAGTACTAATTCAGTGAATTATATAAAAGAATTTTAAGAAATTACAGATTTAACTGTACTTTAAACAACTAGAAAAAAATTTTTTGAAGAACTAGACAATACATGGAACTGTTCTGTGCTCTTACCATATAAAGTCTTAAATTACTTTTGTTAAGCATGAACTATATGGGACTTTCATCATTTCTAAAAAGAAAAATGAGATCTTTTTGATAAGTCAGGGAATAAGGTCAGTGGAAGCTAAAACTGGACAATGTAAAGAAACTGACATGTTTCAAAAATGTAGATAACTAAGAAAAACCTTCAGCATTCCTTTCAAAGAACTCTACTTATGAGGGATGAGGTGGCTGTTCTCTTAATTATACAGATTTACAGGTCATAGTGGCCCAAGCACCAAATAGCCTGTTTTTAGATACCTCCACTCTTCAATCTCAAAAACAGTGGTATACACTTGAATCTTAAAAAAAAAATAAAAATATCACCAGTGTATTTTATAAAATTAAATCCAAATTTTATTTAAGGATTTCAATTACATATTTCAAAATTCTAAAATGGAATAGAACCGTCTTGGAATGAAGAAATGGCATAAATGAACACTGTTATCCCTTGAAACTCAAAATTTTATCAAGAAAACAATTTGCAAATCACATCCCCATTATGTAACAAGATGAAATATTGTATCTACCTCTTTACTTTGGCAATAGCTATTTCCTAAAAGAATAAAAAAAATGACTTTGTTACTTCTTTAATTAAAAATGGGATTCTATCTTTAGATTAAAATTTTAAAGATCAGAAAAGGCTGTGTTTAGATGAAATATGGTTACCCAAAAATAATAACACAGAATGTCTAACCAAAATCATTCTGGAGAAAAAGAAAAAAACTACTGTGATTAGTTAAGGATTTCCAGTAGTTAGTTAAAAACTCTCAAGAAGTATAGTTCAAACACATATGGTTCACATTTTAAGTGTTTAATAATAAATTTTCAAAAAGAAAACTATTACCTGTAAAAACATATCAACTCAATGTAATTTTATGAACAGCAGAAACTCTATAGACCTTCCTCTTGAATTACTCCATTCTCACTATCAAAAATAAGTTCATCCCCCAAATTAACAGTAATTAGCCTGAGGTATTTTAAATGTGGCTATGAAGTCTCAAACTTAATGGCGTTCCCCTCCCCAAAATGGTCACATTACCACTTTAGGCCCATAATCTCTATGGTATTTACTATAATATGGTCATCTGGAATATCTGAAGAAAAAAATCCTTGGACTTAAAAAAAGTCCATCCCATTCATTTTCACTACAATAGCAGCCACATGAAATCTGAGTGTTATTTCGCCAGATCCACAAAAGGGGTGTTTAAACTTCAATTTCCAGTTTAATTATCAAAGCTTGATGTGAAATAAAATTCTGAATATCACACTGTGGTACAAACAGGTCCAAATTTCTGAAATTTTAAATGAGACTGAGAAACAGTTCGTGAAATTTAATGTATTATACCTTAACACATCTCTGAGGTAGTTAAGTAAACAGTACTACCAATTTTAATACATAGTAAACAGAAACATGGGTAAATGACATATGTAAGCAATAAGGATCAGAACAGACCATAGGGGCTTAGGGCTCTCTCTAGTTCTAATCCAAAAAAATGAAACTGAACTTTCCTTATTTTAAAAAATGTGTTATCATTTAGAGGATTTTTACTTTTTGTTTCTCACTTGCTGATCATATCTCCCAAGTTGGCTCCTTTTCCTTAAATATGTTAAACTGGGTACGACTATCACTGATCGAAGTTTAACTTCTTCTAACCTGAATTAGTACAAAATTAAGACATTATCTTGTGAGAACTAAAATTGTATTTAATATTTTTATTTTAGACTGCAAAAACAAGCAAACAAACAACCAAAAAAACATGAAAAAGGCTCATCAAATGATGTAATGTCATCCTTCCCAGGAAAGCAGAAGGTAGATCCTACCACAAAGAAAAGATGCTTAGTTAATAGATGCTGAATTTAGAGGTACACTAAAAGATTATCAGTTAACTTTTAAAAATTCTAGGTTGTATTCACCTCCCTGTGATAACTAACCATTTAAGGTAGGCTTTCCTTATAATTAACTGTCACCTAAAATATAGAACTCCATTAATAACCTAACAGATTTGGTCTTACTGGAAATTCTTAACCAAGGGTTTATTTTTTTTTCTTTAATGATGAATTGTCTTAGTATTAAGTCACTGCATTTCTGTAATAAAAAATGAAGAGCATAATTATGCAAGCGACTTAAACCCACTCTACTACTTGCAGGAAAACTATTTTGGTTCTTCAGGAAAAAAAAATAAATTTTCACAGTTATATTCCAATAATTATATGATGCAAAGAACCAAATTGCAGCAATGAATGAACATGCTTTAGAGAATCTGTGCATTCAATATATCTGACAGTAAAACTATAGTTAAAATGCTAGTTAGAACAAATTGGTCTTCAAAGTATCAATTCCTTTAAAAAAAATTACTGAGTCTACCAAGAAAATACAAAAACATAAGGCTGTAAGTAAATGATAGTTGTGTTTAGGCTATTACAGTGCAGGTTATCCTCAAGGCCACAAACATCCTGCTTCACTGCTGCTTGCACTCTGCTGGGTTTTGATCCTTCTGTTAAAGGAAAACAAGAAGTCAATCTAACTGCTACCTGCTTTGATGTACTTCTCAATAGTAACTATCTTTAATTACCACAATATCTCACTTCTGTCAAAATTTGTACCTAATTAAAGAAATAACATAGAAAGATGATGGCAAATCATTTACTCGAGTTTTACAAAGTCAATAAAATGCTATAATAAAGCCTAAATTTCACATTGCACAACTATCTCCACCATATAATAATCTTAAAACAAAATAACTTGGTAATCATTTTATAAATTATAATTATGCTGCCTTTTTGTCTTCAGACACCAATTTCATTTAATTTATTGAACTAATTTCATTCAATTCAATTTTGTTGCCTGAATATCTTCAAAGATCCTAATATACATCATTTTTATAATTGTTAGGATTAATTCACAACTATCATACTATTTGACTTGTCATTCTGTTATATAATGTCACTTAGGTTCTATCTTTTAGAAATTTTACAGCACTGAGTAAGGTAAGCCGCCAACTTACAAACAAGATGCAATTAGTTTCACAAAGTGAGTCTTATACAATACATTGGTCATTTATTATGTATTTTGTGGGAAGTAAATACCTTTACCAACCCTGATTATTACCATCACTAATAAATTTTTAACACTGAAAAACTGCAGTGGGATAAAAAGCCCAAAATAATATGCTACAAAAGAAGGGTTCAATTGGTCAAAAACGATGACAAATACAAAGTCAAAAACCAATGTTTCAGTCCGGGGATTTAGCTCAGCGGCATAAGCGCCTACCTGACAAGTGCAAGGTTGTGAGTTCAATCCACAGTATCATTTAAAAAAAAAAAAAGTTTCTCAAGGTAAGTGCGCTAAAATTTGCATATTGTTCAAAATGCAAGAAATAACTAGAAAAGTGGGGAGGTTTTAACTGTAATGGAGGAAAAACAAAACTGTATTTTTACTATAGCCTGCCTTGAATTTAACAAAAAACAGCGCTAATTTTGCTCACCTTCGGGTCATAGTCTGGATCATTTTCCTCATCTCCTTCTTCTTCCCCTTCCTATATTAAAGTTCAAAATGCAACCATGAAGTAGGTATACAGCAGGAAAAACATGGCTCATAATGTAGGGAAAATTCAATACAATTTACTCTATAGATCAACAAATTTCCCATAATTACAGAGCTTGGTGATAATACAACTTAATTTGCAAGTTTCTAATATGAAAAATTTCCCAACACAACTTGAGACATCCAGATAGTTTTTATTGAAAATCTTTACTGCAGCCAATGTTGAAAAAGTTTACTGCAGCTTTTGACTTCTTCAAAGAGCTGATAACCCTGCAGCAGAACAAAATTATTTGAAATAAAAAAAAAAAATGTTGCTGAGTTTTACAATTTATTTATTGAAACCTTATACATACATTGTTTGGCTGTAGAATTCTAGTCTTAATTTCCAAAATTTATCCCAAATCACAATGATTATAGCAAAAGAATACACAAGCCATTCAATTTGCTTCTCAAAAGTGTTAAACACAATTATTTGCTCATTTGGTAAACATTACCTCATCTGCTTCTTCACCTTCTTCATCATACTGAAGAGAAAACAAGACAAATGTGAATGAATACAACACTGAGAACAGCATGAATAAAACTCATCCTTTTAAACACTTAGTTCTCACTGCACAGCAGTATGTAAACTAAACATTTAAATCTAAAAAGTGAAAACAAATCAAAAGGGGGAAACTCAAGTGACTGATTATAAGGTACACAGCACATAGTAGCTGTAGGAAGTAACTCAGTACTATTATCTATAACCTCATAAAATTAATTATGTGGATAAAGTATGATCAGGCAACTATTAGTGTATTAATGACTTGTACTTCTGTGAAAACACAGAAAGCTTGTACACATCTGAAGCTTCTAAGAGCAGCCTCATTTTACCTCAATCATGTAATATAACCTTTGATGAAAATTCTATGCCACTTAATAAATATTAAGTAGCAAAAAAGTCCTACTTGTATTTTATGTGGCCAAATCCAATATAGGGCTCTAGTAACAGTAACTACACCTATAAGGTCCACTAACTCAAAATAATCTTCCTACTCGCAGGGGGGGAAAAAATGGATAAATCCAAAGATACTGAAGAGATCAGAGAAGATACCTAAGAGTATCACTAACTGGCCTGATTTTACAGTTTTCTAGTTCTATTACTGTTTAAAAATTCAATCTGTTTATTAATCCTGGCTATCAACCTATTTCCTTTTGAAAATATCAAACCCTCACCAAACTGTTTTATTGCAGGATTCAGATTTACTCACATCATCATCATCATCTTCGATAGCTTCTCCAGTAAAATATAATACTGATCTTGGGATTATACGCTCACGTAAAAAGTGACCAATTTCAAAGTCTGCAGCAAGGATAGCTTCAGCATCATCATCCTATTTTTTTTAAAGGAAAAGTACAAGCACACAATTTGAAAATAACTGTGATCTGAAATATGTAAGGCATCTATGTTTATGTTATGGTGAAGAAACTCGGGCCAGGGATGCAGTTCAGTGCATGGCACCTGCCCAGTATCTCTATACCCCTGGGTCCCATCCCCAGCACTACAAAAATGAAACCTCAATGTCAATTTAAAATTACCATATACTCATGTACATCAAATAGTCATCTAAATCTGTTAGCTTTATATGAAGTTAGCAGCAGTAAGTAAAATAAGGGCCAAATACGTAGCTAATGGTACAGTCTTTGCACAGAATGCATGGAGGCACTGGAACTAACCCCTTTGACCGCCTAAATAATTAAGACTATTGCTTAGTTTTTTGGAGAGGCTGAAGTAGTAAAATCTGAATGTAACTTGATTACATAATGACAATTTCCTCTGAAAACGGAATACAAAAACAAACTAACAAAAAACCTCAGGCTTTTGTAAGTAACATTAAGAATGCAGTCAATAGAACATAAGAGACCACAGTAGGCAGGAGGCAAATAGTTAGGTATAGTTGTAAATCCATTTAATGCCAAAGAAGTTCTAGCGATAAATACAATTAATTGACTAAGCCAGTCTAGGATTTCTATTTAATGGTGAAGCACAGCATGGAATTCTGTATTATTCAAAGGAAGTTTTAAATTCCGTTTAAGTAGCTGAGTGTACACCTGTATTCCCAGCACTTGAGAGGCTGATACAGAAGGATCACTGAGTTTGAGGCCAGCCTGTGCTACAATCCTCCATCCCAAAATCCCATTTAAATTCTGCTACTGACGAGTGAATACAGATTCATGAATTATATAAAATTAGTCATCAATATAACCTACATGACTAAACAGAACTTATTAAAATGGGTGTGTATGTTTAAGATTATTAAGGAATTCTAATCACAAATGAAGGCTTTCTATGTATAACTTACAAGATTTTCTGCCACAATCAATTTTTAGTAGTAAATTTTTTGTTCTGTCTTTTTGAGACAGGGTCTCACAAGTCCAGGCTGGCCTTAAATTCATTATACAGTCTTGGTCATTTGTCTCAGCCTCCTGATTGTTGGGATTACACGCATGTGCCACCACGCCCTGCTAATAATAAATTTCAAAAATGCCCCTGAATACAAACTTCAGCAAATCTACTGATATGAAAATTGTGTGATGCTCCATCTTAGTCCTCCTTAGTAGTCTGCAACCTGAAATCTACACACTGCTGTGTATTTCCATAGTTTGTTTAATAAGAAGACATTCTGAATTAGCCCAGTTAATACTCTTTCCAGACACTACTAGTCTTTTTGGAAATCTAGTGTAAGCTTTAGCCAACTTTATTCCAATTTAAAAGTACTCAAAGTAACACATTATCTAATTTCATATACTTGTAAAACTGAACACAGTTCATGAAAAACTATGGCCGACAAGAAAACAAATTCAAAACATGCCAGGCTTGTCTGTTGTAGACTTCTTTGAAATTTTTCCTCACTCCAGAATGTATGGCAAGAACAGAAACATTTCACAGTTGTCTATATGCCACATAGAGGAACAAATATGGCCACAGTATGGTACCCTATCTTCACTGAACAAAGACAGCAGAGTTCTAACCCTGGGGCTCAGAGGTCATTAACTAGTATAAATAATGTGATACACTGTTTGACTAGAAAATATTTAATATTTTCGTATCAGTGCTTCTCAGTAGAGACATCATCATCACCTAGAATGAACACTTTTTTCAGACCTATAAAGATCTACCCCATGCATTGCAGGCCTCAGAACATATGCTAGAAGCAGGATGGAGAATCCTCACATAGTACACAAAAGGCCCCAAATTCAATCGATAGCATAGTATCAACAAAACCTTTCTAAACAATGCTAGCAGAAACCATCCCACTCTACTTTTGAGCACTGTTTCAATTTCACACACAGCAAACAACTCTGTAAACTACTTACCAGATCTCCACTCTCGGGAACTGTAAAATTGAAAAAAAAAAAAAAATAAATTCAAATGAGGAAGAAATTCAATGAAGTTTCATAGTAAAACAACCAACAATGACCAAACTAAAACAGCTTACCTTCAGGAGGAGCAAAAAAATTAAAGAATGAATCATTGGAAACTGTTTTAGTCACAGTACGAACTGTCCCACGTCCCTTATGTTTCTGCTTCTTTTTAATAGTTTTCAAAGTGACATTCTTTCCTTTTTTCCAATCTATCTGGCACCTTGCAAAACAGAAAAAAAATTTTATCACAATTACCACTTTCAATTACTACACTTTTAGTAGTGGTGTAATTTCAACTTCCAAGTTTTTTGAGAAGAATTGGCTCAAACATTTTGTCACAGTACAATTGGAAAAACTGTATTTTTAAACCAAACTTTTTAAAGTTAATGTGCTCTTTTACAGAAATATAATGCACATTAAAATTGAAGGCAAAAGGCACATTTTTACCGAAATGCTTGACAGTAAACTATAATGCAGCAACAACACGCAATGAAACACAAGTATCATGAAACAGAAGTACTATAACAAAAAAGACATGTGTTTTGTTAAAGTACTAAAATCAACTCACCCTGCACAGCCCATGATTTCAGGTCCATCAAACGAAAAGGGATCAGAATCATCTGGTTCAGACCTCATCCTATACGTCTTTGTCAACACTTCATTTGTGAAATACTCATTGGGTTCAAAGTGAAATTCTAAGATAAAACTCTTTTTGAAAAAGTGTAAAAATTAGTATATTACATCATAAATTGCAATGCATTCATAGTTTAACCTGTGACTTTTACAACATAAAGAATTCCTAATGTAAGAAAAATCATTGTCATGTTAAAAATAGCAAAATGAGGCACAAATTAAACTGAATTTAGATTCAATTTACAACTATCATTTAGACTGAATACACCTAAACTGACCAAGTCCCTCTTCTTTCCCATCTCCCCCACAAAGGAGGCTTGGGGGCAGGGAGGGTTTCCAATCAGATTTTATTGGTACATGTTTGATATGCCTTTAAAAAAAAAAAATCACATTTTAAAGCTGTGTACATGATATAACTTGTTTCCCCATTCTTCCACCCCAACCCTCCCTCAAACCCCCCTCCCATTTACAAAAGCTTTGCTGCCATTTTTCCCTTTGTTTTTAACTCTTCCCTTACTTCATTTTCCCCTCCCCTTCTTTGTTCCTCTCCCCATTTAAACATCTTACTATTTCATAGTATCTATTATACATTTTGGTCCTTATACTTTTAACTTCTCATATCAGAGAAATAATGTGGTATTTACACATCTGTGGGAGATTTATTTCACTTAAGAGAACAGAAAGGTCAAGATTTTTAAATATGAAACCAGAATATGAACTTGATACAGAGAAGTTCAACCATAGAAATCTATAGCCTATTTCTGTAGTAGTTTGCTCATGGTTACCATAAATAGTTAGTTTTTAGGAGGTTGTTAGCTGATTTTTTCTCCTGGTAGAGTGAGATCTCTACCATAATTTCTTATGTAACTGTCAGATATATGCCTTCTAATACAGGCTATGTAGCTAGTTATTCATGTTGTGTTGTCTTTTTGTTTTATCTGTTTTGTTTGAGACCAAGTCTCACTATGTAGTTCAGGCTGGCCTGGCAATCCTCCCAGCTCAACCTCTTAAGTGCTGGGATTATACAGTATACCACCATGCATGGCGTGTTGCCATTTTAAAATCTACTTCAATCCAGAATCAATGGGTGTGGGGGCGCACACTTGTGTAATCCCAGCCCTCAGGAGGCTGTGAGGCAGGAAGATAGCTGTGAGTTTTCAGCCAATCTGGGCTACATAGTTCAAAACCAGCCTGAACTACACAATGAAACCCTGTCTTTAAAAAAAAAAAAAAAAAAAGACAACAACCAAAAACAAACAAAAACACTTTCATGTCATTTATTTACTATGAAATTATAAATATTTCAAAGTTGTTTGTTGTTTTTACCATAGGCTGGCCAGCATCTGAGAATTTCACTTTAATGTCCTTCAAATGCTTCAGAATAGGTTCATCATGTTCCTTAAAGATTAATAAATAATGTTGTTACTAAACAAATACTAGACACAGTATCTTTTACAAACTAATTAACCTTAAAATTTACTGTCCATATTACAGCTCACATTGATACTAGTTTTTAATGCTACTGCTACATAAAAATAGGCTAAACAGATAACTATATCCTTATACAAACTGAAGGTCTAAAAAAATAAAAGAACAGCCAGGCATGGTGACTTACGCCTGTAACCCCAGAACTCGGGAGGCTGAAAAGCAGGAGGGACTTGTTTCAAGTTCAACATCAGCCTGGGCTACAAAGTGAGCTTAAGGCCAGCCTGAACTGCATAGTGAGACCCTGTCTCAAAGACCAAAAAACAAAATACAGGACATGACTGCTTTAATATTTCTTGACAACAACTATTGCCTTTTCCCTTTTCTACTTTGCTAAGGTAGAAAGGTAATAAGCAGTCACTACATTGAGATTATTTCTTTTCCAGCAATCACAAGACAGGGCAACAAGTACAAAAATGGTAGCGGTTCAAGAAACGCTGAAGAGGCAAGAGAGCAATGTAATTGTTACATATCTTCACAGTACCCTTTTTAAAATGCAAATTTCAGCCAGCTAAAAAGACTCTCTCTCCCCATCCCACCTCCATATTAAGCAATCCAAACACAATGCACTTGCTTATGAGAAACCATCAATCAACTACCAATGAAACTATTTCATCATCTAATTTTAAAAAATGAACTGTAGTTGATTGGATTGTAAACAAAGAGCAAAAAAGCTGCCAGGCATAACAGCACATGCCTATACTCCCACCAGGATGATCACCATGAGTTCGAGGCCTACCTCAACTACACAGTGAGATGCTGTCTCAAAAAAAAAAAGAAAGAAAGAAAACAAAAAAGCAAGCAGTGCTTCCTTTCTACACATTATGCTATGTCAAAAAATAACAATAATTTTAAAAAGATCAACACTGAAACAGTCACACACATTTAAATTTCAAAGGCTTTCCTTTCGGGTCAATTGGTGTTTTTATTAATAAAATTACCTGAACCATGTCACTGAGCAAATCAACATTCTTAAAAACAGTCAACCAAAATTCAGGAATTCCTTTAGGATCTTCTTTTTCTTCATCTTTTTTCTCATCTTCAATTTTGGCCTTTTCTTTCATCTCCTCCTTGATAAACAACAGGATATATTACAGAATATCTATACTAAATCCCCTGACAAACTTTTTTAAAAAAATGTCTCCTTAACTTACAAACAGTGCCGTAAGCATAAAAAAATAAATACACCTACAAGCACCAATTATAATTTTCTAGTTATAGAAAGAAGTTTTGGTTTGTGTAAAGACTACTATTATCCATTCCAAACTTTTATTCCGTTAAAATCGCTGCGAGGCCAGGCATGGTGGCACATCCCCTAATGCCAGTATTATGGGGAGCTGAGGCAGGAAGGAAGTTTGAGCCCAGCCTAAGCAATTTAGAGCCTCCTCCAAAGGGGGCGGGGGGTTGAGGGATTGAGGTGGTAAAATAGTAATTCCTCTAAATTCAATCCCTAGTACCACCCCCCCCAAAAAAACAAAACAACAAAAGCTTCCTGCTACTATATCCCTCCCAAAAAGACTACTGGGATCAAGAAGAATATAGAAAACACATTTTAAAACTGGGCATGGTGACGCACAATCCCAGCACTTGGGAGGCTGAGGAAGGAGAATCGCTGCAAGTTTGAGACCAGCCTGAGTTATAAAGTTGAGCTCAAGGTCAGCCTGGACTGCACAGTAAGACCCTGCCTCAAAACGTACCAAAAAAAAAAAAAAAAAAAAAGAAAGAAAAACATTTTATAAAGAAAAGCATAAAAAAGAGCACTTTAAAACATAGCAACCAGGAAAAGTAAAATGTTGTCCAGTGTGGGGATGGTGAACCTGTCAGAGCTTTCAATGCTACAAGCCGCCCAATGTGGCACACATGCCATAGTTTTGCCATCACTGATCTAATGTGTCACCCTGAAATGTACTCCATCAAAATATTACATTCTTCAAGTATTAGAATAGAAATGCTAGGAAAAAAGTTATTTAACAGCACCGGATATGTGTCACAGCTGACATTCACTGGTGGAAAGTCTCCATTCACTTGAAAAATGGCAACAATACTTTGCCTGTTATTTTAAAAGAAAAATCTGCATGTATGAATTTGAAATATTATAAAAACTTAAAAAAATGATCAGGTACAAACAGCAGCATTAAAACAAAGAGACCATTTTCTAGCTATAAAAACATCACTGATTATAAAATACTGTACCTCATCATCAACAAATGCTAACATTTCAAACAATTTAAGACACTGTCATCTAAAAATACACAAAGATAAACTTGATACTAACCGAAATTTCATCTTCCTCATCTGGTTTCCATTCACATTCTTCTTCCGTGGGTTCATAAATTGCATTAATGATCTCAAATCGCTAAAATAATAATAAAAGTCTGCATAAAAACACTAGAATCCAACCTTAACATCAGGAATTTCTCATTAAGAACTCTGACAGATTTAATTAATGGATACCAAAACAATGACTGTTATTCTTGGCAGTTTCCCTACGTACTTCTAATACCCACTTTAGTAGTATTAAACCAGCTGTAAGTTTGTACTTCCAAGATTGTCTCCTAGAACTTTAGATAAAATAGTAAAGAGTATTACCTTATCGAATAGAGGCTGATAGAGAACCGCATACTTCCTTTCAAGATCATGAACTTCCTCATAGAATTTAGCTTCTATCTGTGCACATTTAACTTGAAGGTTTTTGAGAGCATTCACTCTTCTTTTAACTACCCTAGGCAAGCTGAAAGGTTAGAAACCAGTTATATAGCCTCACAGTAATAAACACCAGTCACACTTCTTTACTCATACTGAAATGGAAGCATCAATGTGAGTGAATAAGCTTCCTACTTGAAGGAAAAGGTACATTTAAAGTGATTCAAGATTGATAGAAATTTGATTTTGTAAAATAGATCAGAAGCAGAAATTTAATCAAGTAAATCCATAAAACAAATTTTAGTCAACCCTAACCTCTACATGTAATCAAGTTCAGTGCTGAACTTATTATTGATAACACTTCAACTCTAACATGCAACCTAGTGTATCATGACTATTTTAACTGAGATTGTGATTGTTTCAATTTTTTAAAACTTATATCTCACCTGTACTAGACAGAAGCATATGTATTTTGGAGAAAAAAGAACAATATATCATTACTTTCTATCTTAGTCTAACCTGGTATTTGAAATTACATAAAATAAAAATATATTATGAAGAGGGGACACAAATTTGTTATCTCAATAAATGTTACTTAAAAGTCATATAAATTGGGACAAGGATTTTAGCTCAGCAGCACATGTGCTTGCCTGGCAAGCATGAGGTCAAGTTCAATCCCTGGTAGCAAAAAAAAAAAAAAATCACATAGACCTTTTATAGAAGTACAAATGTCATATGATATACAATGGGGCATTTTTTTTAATATTACACACTTAAAGGGCAGGGTATGGTACCACATGCCTGTAATCCCAACACTTGGAAGGACCACTGCAAGTTTGAGGCCAGCCTGAACTGCACAGTAAAACCCTTGTCTCAAAAATCACCAGGAAAAAAAAAGGCACATTTAGGTTATGAAGAAATCGCTTGAAAATGATGAACCCCTCTACCACCCTGAAAAAATGCTCACTCTAAAATAATTCACCTAATATAATGTCAGGGAATCTATGTAGTATACCCAGAACATACACTAAAATCTCCTGCTACAGACTTCTGCAAGTCAAGCAATCCTCTTTCTTAGCACTTCAGTAAGATTACTACAAATACAAAAACACTTCAATTTTTTCAACTGTCTCTTAAAGTTAAAAACCATTTTCTCTCCCATCCCAAAATTAACCCTAACAACTTCAAAACCAAGAAGAAAACAACTGTCTCGTCCACTCCCCCTACACACACACACACACACACACACACACACACACACACACACAAAGCAGCATTTGAATAAAACCAGGGGACAGGATAGCTACAGTAGGTGACAGTAAAAACAGGTCCAGGAGAACAATTTTTATAAAAAAAACTTTTAAAATTCTGGTCTTGTTGAGAAAACAACTGTTCTTGTCCCCCTTCCCAAGAGCCCAATCCCTGAGTTCATGCAGAATTCATGAAAGTTATCCTTCTCCCATCCCATCCAAGTTAGGTATAATGGATTAGACAATCAAAAAAGAATCCCACTCTAACTGGCAACAAAGAAAACCACAATAACTGCCTTGAATTGTCAGCTTTTGAGTCTCAGGAGACTGGTGTCCTATTTAGTTAGGCTCATCTTATCCCGCTTCTTAAACTAGACACTTGACTAATACAATTTCTATAAACAATCTGAATTGTTAACATCACATCATTAAAACAATACTACAAAGATGAAAAAGACATTACAAGAAATCTAAAATAAAGTGGGTATGCAACATGAAAATACCATTACGAAAATAACCAAATTATAAAATTTAGTTAAAAGGGCGTTGGGTTGGGATTTAGCTCAGTGGAGTAAGCACCTGCCTTGCAAGCACGCAGTCATGAGTTCAATCCCCGGTACCGATTTAAAAAAAAAACAAAAATTTAGTTGAAGTAAAAGTTTGAGGTTTAAAAGTTCTCCCAAGTCAGGCTGAAAGAAAACAGAAAAGCTCTGACATGAATGACAAAAGTGGCAACAGCTGAATAACAGAATAAACAGCCTAAGAAATGAGAATAATTTCTCTCAGGAAAAATTTTTAGTAATGATATTAATTAATATCCAAGACAAATGTTAGATGTTCAGTGGAAGAATGCAAATAACTTTACAAAGGAAAAGGAAACAGAGAAAAAGAAACTGCACAGGAGAAAAACATTAAGATTTTTAAGAACTCAATCTACAAATTTTATAGGCAGAATTATTATTCAGATGTGAAAGTGAGATAAAAATATGATCAGGCTTCACAGGCAGTGGCCACAGATATTACATTCATTAAAAACAATTTCATATAAAAATACAGGAAACTTTGTATAAATATAAGATACAGTATATGTGGTCAAATAGGTTAGTAAATATTTCATTATTATGTTGAAGAGAAAAAAATAACCAGAAAAAATAAACCAGTTCAGATGCTGATAAATATAATAAGTCAATAGGATTGAATTCATTTAGGATTAGGTTACTATGTTAACTAAAAACTGCATTAACTTTGAAAGCAGCAGGAGACTGTCTACACAATGGGAAACAGAAGAAAAGAAGGAGGGAGATAAAGGACAATAAATTAAAAATGAAGGAAAGATAAAGTACAACTTTCAAGAAGGGTAAATTTTAACTAATAAAGAAGCAAATAATCCTATTAAAAGACACAGGGTCAAAAATATATACTAGGTTTTTAATAAAGAAAAGAGAACTCAGGTGGCTATCTTAGTATTAAAAAAAAGTGTAGGGGACAAGAGCCAAAAATACTAAGAAGGACATGTCAGTGTAACAGAGCAGACTGAATAATACCGCTTTAAAATGTATAATCTCACTGAGAAGATTACAGGGAGAAACAGACTAATTGGAGATACTATCCTTGGCAGAAACTTAGATAAAACAATTAGCAGAAGAGAAGCTGAAAAATATAATAAACTTGAATAATTAATCTCAGTATTTATATCAGAATAAATATGAGAGAACCTGAAAAATATAATGAACTTAGAGCTATTAATCTATATGTTTATGTATCATCATACCCAACATTTATAGGACACAAAAACTGAGTACTAAGGCTACAAAGGACCCAGATTAAACAAAAAGTTATTAATGAACCAAGTAAAAGGAAGAGGAACAAAGCAAACCTAAATAAGTAAGGTTCAGGGCCTGGTGCGTACTAGGCAAGCATCCTACCACTGAGCTACACAACAATAAAGTCAGAAATCAATGAGTAGCATTAACAAAAATACAAAAAAGGCAATTAAAAGCAGAATGAGGGTTCCAAGAAACAGTAAGATCAAGGCAACTACCAAGACTGAAATGCAGAATACAAATTATGAAAGGGAAAATAATTCATTTTTCTAAAACTCAGGAAGTATATTTAGAGCCCAGATAAAGTACATACTTTAGCAGTAAATACATCAAAACCCAGACAAAATATATACAAAACCCAAACCCCAAAACAAAAAGAAACAACACTCCAAGGCTGACAGAACTTAAATAACCACATAGGGAAACCTCATTTCAAAAAGACCAAAGATAGATAGATAGATGCCCACAACCCCTCCAGAAGCTCTAATCCCTAAACTCCAAAAGCCCAAGTACATTTTCTGGAATTCTCATTTCTATCTCATCCAAGTTGCTGCAGAAAAATGGGTGTGGGGGAGAATAGTACATCTGTTTCACTGTGCAGTTGAAATTTTGACTTCATTAGTACACTCCCTCAAAGTTTATGCACACACATATACACACATGCACACGTTTGTCACTAATGACTGAGGACTCAAACTAAGCACTCAACAATGTAACAACACATAATTAAATTTACTCCAAAAAAGGCAAGACTAGTTTATCCCTTGAAAGATTACTATGATAAAATTCCGAAGTATTTAGAGTAATATAAAAAATGGTTACTTATGGTAGCTCACGCCCACAATCCCAGCTATTCAGGGTGTTGAAAGTTGGATGTCAGCCTGGGCAATTTAGGAAGACCCCTTTTAAAACAAGAGCTGGGATGTAGCTTGACAGTCCCTTGGTTCAATCCCTTTGGTAAAACCACCCCGGGTGGGGATGGGAAGGCAGCTGTGCCAAGATCCTGGGTATATCCAGCACCAAAATATGAAAAACAAGAGTCACTGAATTTAATAGGTGAGTTTATTGCCATTTCCAATGACTGGAAATAAAACAAAGTTATCTATCTTTATTGCTAATGTTCAGCACAGTGCTGAAAGTCCTGGCCAATGCTTTAAGGACAGAAAAACGTAGCCTAAAACAATACGGAGGATTAGAACTGAAACAAGTATATTATTTGCAAATAAGCTCTTCAGGGTGTAGACAAAACAAATAACTACAATGAATTCATCAAAGTTACTGGAATCAATATCAACTTATTAAAAAAAAAAAAAAAAATCAACGGCACTCCACTGTGTATCCACAAATAGCTAACCAAAAAACACAATTAAAAATTACTACTCACAACAGTAACACATCTCAATTATATAAAAATGAATGTAACCAATGCATTATGAAAGCAGTGACATTATAAAAGACAAAATATAAAATATATGCATGAGATAATATTAAAAATACATACTTTTTAGTATATACACTCTTTAGGGTATAGACAAAACAAATTACAATAAACTTTATCAAAGTTACTGGAATCAAGATGAACTCACAAAAAAAAAAAAAAACTACAGCACTTTCACTGTATATCACAAATAGCTGACCTTAAAACATAACTAAAAATTACTATTCGCAACAGCAACACATTTCAATTATATGCAAATGAATGTAACCAATACATTATGAAAACAGTGAAATTATAAAAGACATGATATAAAGTACATGGGTGAGACAATATTAACAATATATATTTATCTGTCAATTTACAGAAGCAGTTTAATTCCTACCAAATTTTACAGCTTTAAAAATATTTGAGAACGCTGATAAATTTAAATGTATGTGGGACACGGGTCTGGTTAGATCAACCTTCAAATTAATTTGTGGAGGAGAAAGGGAGGAATGAAGCCAACTTTTCCTGCTGGATCATAAAGCACACTTAAGCCTTAGAATTGTGTGACAGTGACAAAAGAATGGATAAAAGATGAGTGAAACACAAACACTGTGGCCGAGAGTGGGGAAACATGGAAGCAAGCAACTTGTTTTGCCAGGTACTAAGACACAGCACACAAAGTCATAGTAACTAAATGACAATGACAAAAGCAAAAAGACAAATGAAACAGAAAAATGGTATGAGACAAATGCAAGTGTTTAATATGCAATAAAGTCAGTACAGAAATAAGTAGGGAAATGGATTAACACTGTTTAAAAAACTAGTTCACTAAAAAGTGAAGTGGGAGGAGAAACTGGATGTTTACACCAAATACAAAGGTAGACTCTACAGAGATCAAAGTCCTAACTGTGAATGGTAAAATTACTATTAAACTAAGCAGGCAATGCAGAACTAGAACTAGGAAAGACTTCCTAATAATTTCAAAGCACAAGTCACAAGCAAAAAATTGTGCTAACATAAAAGATAAGGATTTCTGTTTAATGGATGGGATGTGGGAGTCCATGGATGAAGTTAGCAGAAATGGAACAAAATATCACTTACAAATCTAAACCTGATGATAACGGAATGGTAACCAGAATACCTAAAAATTTCTACAAACTATTATGAAAGACGCAGCAATCTTAATTAGATAATGGACAAAAGGTACAAATGGGATACCCAAGTCTCACAAACTTTATGGAAAGAAACCCAAAATTCAGCAGAAATCAGAAGATATAAATGTGCCCACCCTTACTAGATTACCCTACATAACTAGCAATGATCCCACTAAAATGTACAAGAGGATACACAAGAATTCCCACAATACAGTATGTGCTGATGGAGCCCATCAAAGGAAAAGCAAGTAATAGAACACATACCAGAGAACCAGGTAACATTAAGAAGCTAGTAAATAGAGATACACATAGACAGTAGTAGATACCTAAATCCGAATCTAATGCGAATGGATCTTAAAAATCAGAGAGCAGAGTTGTAGGCTGAACAAGATATTCAGGCTCTCAACTATTTGTCACAAATGAAATGAATCCGTATTTCTTCTAATTCTGTGCATTTCTAATAAACTACAAACATTGGAGAAATGGTTAAGATTGGTGCACTTGAGAACCTGAATCAAACTTTTAAAACACCAACTCTAGATACAGCGTAGCAGTCAAGGAAACTTCCAAAGCCAGTAAGCCTATACCAACAGACATTAACTTTCCACTATTACACACAAAAATCTTAGATGTATTTTAAAAACAGATATACCTGCAATGTTGATTACCGCAAGATAAATTAGAAGGATGGAAAAGAAGACATGTACCTTTCAATGTATCCTGTTGGTGTGTCTACCAGACCATCAAGTCTTTCTTGAAGGGCTGCAAGAATCTGAGGATTTTGCATCATCTGAACAGTCAGCTGACGCGCTTTAAAAAAAAAATAAATAAAAGGGCATCGAAAGGCTTTTATGAAAATGTTTTTCATAAAGTTTTCCTAGCTGGCCCATAAAATGCCTGCATAAAGAGCAGAAACAGGCAGTGACTAAAGAAAATACACTCTAGGAAAACCCATGTCCAGGAAAAGTTCAAATTTCTAATGATCTCAACATTTGTGGAGACTACTTCCACAATTACAATGAACAATAATATTCTTCCTCTTGTGTTTCACCCACCTTACACTTTGGGGAAGCTCAAAGCTTCATGTAGATGCCTATCTATGATACTTGATAATCCTTAGAAGGCAGACAACATGTATCTGAAAACTGCAAATGAGCAGTAATTTAAGCTGGGACAAAGATGGAGACTGATGCAGACACTTATGTTTGTTTTGATGTCTATGTAGTGTACTTGTATGTAAACAAAAAAGGTAATAATTGACGCAAAGGCTGTAACTAAAGCCAAAACATACTGTTTTTAAATTCTACCCAAATATAAGCTAGGTTCATGCAAAACAATCATGTTGCTATCATCTTTATCAATAGATTATTACATAGTTAACACTGATTTTCCACATTATGTTCTTGAAGGATAATTTACTACTTCTCTCAATTACTAGATGTCAGACACCTGTAATTATTACTGAGCCATCAGAAACATCAATAATTGCCACCCGTTGGCCATTCGTCTCATGTTAACAATTAAGGATTAAAGCTATAAATTTGTAAGTCTTAGAAATGACTTCCATCCAACTTAACAATGAAAAGTCATCTGGTGTTTCAATATTCTTTACCCAGATCTATAAGCTGTAACCTAACATAGTACAATTCCTCATCACCATCACTACTCCCTTGCAAAAGTACCTGTTGAAGTGAATTTTGAATTCCTTTGCCTATGTACATAATTTTTTGAAAGAATGCATTTTTAAAAGACATACATACCTCATATTTTCTATACATTAAACATTCAACCCTCCATTCCCACCACCTGAAACATTTCTAAATTAAGATAAAATAGCTGTTTAAGATACAGCTATGCCTTATCACCCCAGTAAATGAGGATTCAGTGACTTTTGATGAGTCATATCCACATCTTCCTCCCTTCTTTCTCACACTAAACACACACTCTCTCACACGCACACACACACGCACACACACACACGCACACACACACACACACGCACAGTTACTAACCTGGAGATATGAGCAAGCAGATAAAGAACAAAGATCCAGAAGAAATGGTACTTCTAACTCTCATCTAGAAAACATGCCAGCAACCACTGGCTCCTGAAGTAATTTAAAATAATACCTTTGATTTTTGTTTCTTCACCAGTTTCTTCTTCTTCTATTTCTTCAACATCATCCAAATCTTGATCAAGTTCAGACTGTTCTTTGCTACAATATCATAGCATCACACCATTCAAATGTACCAATTACCAAAAAATATATAGAAAAACTTAATTTTTAAAATAATGCTTCTTTCAAAGATGACAAGAAATTCAAAAGGCAATTCATTTTCTAACTTCATATGTAAACAAGTACTAAAATTTTCATTTAAAAGCATCTAGGCAAATATGAAGTTTATACATCAAGGTTTAAAAATGTGAACTGACAGGTTTTTGGGGAAATGTGATGTCACTTTTGATATAAGATCTACTAACTCCAGTCTTCCCTCTTAGCAACTGCTAGTTCCTTCTTAGTATCTCCAACTGTCTGACTTTCCTAGCCCACTTTGTAGCCAAATGTAATTGTGTCTTTTTTTGACAGATTTTTTTTTTAAGAAGTAGAACTTTGAGGAACAATTCTTGCAGAACGGCAGATAATTTTACAAAACCTCTTTGTTTGTGCTCTCACCCTTCCTCCATCTAGAATATGGATGTGATGACTGCAGCTCCAACAGCCCATATGATGGAGTACTCTAGAGACTGTATGCTACCACACCACAGATGAAGGAGTCAGGAAAACAAGGATCTGTATCTCTGATGAGTAAGACCAGGCTGCACCATCTCTGGATTTTTCTTTATTTCACAGAAGAGATGGTAAAGAATGCAGTCTACTTCTTGCTTGGAAAAGCCAGGAAAATGGTGCAATTAAAAAGGTAGAAAATAAAATAGCATCCTTCTCACTAATATCTTAAAAGAATCACAAAAATTATGTTTGGTACATGAACATTTATGTCTAGCCATCAAGAAAGGGACACCAGGTGTCATGCCACATGCCTGTAATTAGTTCCAGCACTCTAGAGGCTGTTGTAGGAAAATCAGAAGTTTGAGGCCAGTAGATACCCACAAATGATGCATATGGCCAACTCAGCGCACCTCTATTTTTGTAAATAAAATTTTTACTGGAACACAGTAAATACATTTATGTTTAGCCTACTGCTGCTTTCCCACATCCTGTATCTGCAGAGTTGTGCAGTTAGTTACAAGACCCTTAAATGCCTAAAATATTTACTTTCAAACACTTAAAAGTTTACTGACTTGGTTTAACCATCTCTTTTCTCTCACTGTCCTACAGCTAACAGGCATCCAAAATTAAGAGGGAAAAATCAAGCTGTAACAACCAATTTACCTGTTTCCTAAGTTTTCAAAAATAAGGGCTGCACAAATGTGTTTAATCCTCCCACAATCTTTTAAAACAGACAAACAGAGAAAGACAAGTGCAGCAAAACTTAGAAAGCTGGAAAATAGCAGTGAAATATAAGCTAGCAGTGGGAAAAAGCTGAGGATGAGCCCAACCAATCTTCAGGGCCAAGAACTGATGACATCAACACTTCTGTAACTAGGGCTGAAGATAGCTGAAAATAGGGAGAACCAGAGAAAAGCTGCTACCCAGTTTAATACTCAGAGCCTCTCTCAAACCCTAGCAAAAATAGTAGTTTCTTCTCTATAAATAGTTAAGATTCAGGACTATCACTGAGGGACTAGACACAATTTACAAAGTACCTAACATAATGACAGGCTGTGTACACAGCAGAATGTATAGACCCTCCCTTCCTGCCCTTCTCTTCACCTCCTTCAACACTAGAAGCTAGTCCTATACCCAAACACTACTCACTGAGGAACGTGATCACTTCAGAAAAACATCAACAAAAGCACACTCTGATGACCCTACCCAAAGACCCAAAGTAATAGGTTTACCTACCCAACCCTCAAATTTTCCAATCACATTTCTAAACAGTCCCTACCCTAACCACTCAACATAACCTCAATCTTAGTGAGAATGACCAAAAATTACCTCACATGAAAGGAAAGCTACTGAGATGAAAATAAATAGTGGAAAGAAAAATTTAAGAGCAGACAGATTCTATAAAGATGAAATATCTAGAAAAAAAGCTATTGCCATCATGAAACTAGAACAGGATGCTGTAAAAACAGGAAGAACAAAAAAATTCTCAAAAGTAAAACTACACATTATTTTAAAACAACCTAAAAATGGAGGTTTCCTCAGCTCTGAATAGAAAGAGTAAAGCAATAAAAATATGAAAAAGGTAAGGTTACATATAAATTAAGAATTACGACTTTGAACTTAAAAGCAACAGTGGAAGTAAAGTGACAAAGGAAAGTGCCTTCAAAACTCTGAAGAAAAATACTTTCTGCCTTAGAACTTTATTTCCAAATTATCAAGCATAAAACAGTAGTCATTTTCAATCGTATCACACACAAATAATTTACTGCCTTTGTACTCTAAGAAGGCAGGAAGAAGAAAGAATACAGAGCACATCAAACTCAGGAGAAACAAAAAGGAAACCCCAGGCAGACAGTAAAGTAGTTCAACAAAGACAACTTTATATCAAGATTAAGCAATCCAGATTAGAGTAATATGACCTACTTTGAAACTGGTTATCACTAAACTGTCAAGTTATCTCCTATTTTTTGCCAAAGACTGCATGCATGCATGAGACTACTGGCCCAAATTCTCATCTATACTTGGATATACTGAATAAAATTACTTTCGACAAACTTTTCTGAGCCCCCACCTCCAGACCTTGATCCCTCAACAGCTATGAATAATCAGTCCTATCATCCTCCTCAATTCCAAGTACTCTGCCTTAACCTATTGAGGTGGCGGACTACTGTGAAACTAAACAGGATGCAGCTCATCCCATTCTCTTCAATCACATTTCTCCAAGACATCCATCTACATTGGCAACCGACTACACAACTTAATTAAACCTGTGTTTACCAGAATGAATGTTCTCAATACATTAAAAAGTTACATCACACGGTGCCCAATTAACACTTCTAGTTCGGGCCCTTGACAGATTATGATCCAGGTAATTTCTTTTGTCTTTCATTGTCCTATCTTCAAACCTTTGACAAAGAGTAGTAATAGAGATTTACACAGCTAAGTTTGTGCTATCAGATCATCAAAAGAACATTAAGAACTGATGAGAAAAGCAGAAAAATAAATTTAGACAAAAAGTTAGTGCATATACCTCTGCAGATGAAAAGCTAAAAGATGGAGAATGCAATCAAGAAGGAGCACAAAGAGCTTCTAACAGTAATGTTCTAATTAACTTGTACATAAGTACTTTTGTTATGTTCAAACTCTACTCAGATTTTATATGCATCTTGCATGTATAACTCATTACAATTCAAACAGAAAATTTAAGAAACATAAATATTTATGATCTGTTTAATACAATCACCACATTCCTAAGGGAAAACATTGACAAATGATTTACCTATCTATATTGCTGATAATATACACATTACAGGTTTGGGACACTTTACCTAACTTCATCGGTAACAGGAACCAAGCAGTAGTCATCATACCACACATTTTCATAACATAATTTGTACTGCTATTAATTACACCACAGCACAAAGTTATGTCGAATTTCTGAAAAAGAAATGACAAATCAATCTGTTACTTACTTATCAATGTCTGCCATGATGTGCTGACGAACTCCAGATACCTACGGAGAGAAACATCAACATTTAAAAAAAAAAAATCATGCAACATACAAAAGACCTCACTATCTACCAAAAAGAATTTCAGAAAAGCTGCTTAAAGCAAGCTAGTTACACGAGGCTTTTTTAACATAGCAAATGAAGACTTATAAAATCGTAAGAATCAAAAATTCCCTTGATTGTGCAAAAGCAACACTAAGTAGTCTTTCAAAATTTTTTTAGGTTTCTTAGCATCTCAGAACAAATTCACTTCGTTTTAAACATATTAATTTATCAAAACTTAAAATCTATGACCTACTAGACTTTATTATGTCCCTGGGCATAGTAATTCTTTCATCATGTCAGTCCCTTATACTTCACTATATTTATTAAGTTCTGAGTCTCAACCTATGTCAGCTAAGTATGCCTTCCTTATCTTCTCTTCAAGTGTACCTTATGTCACACATCACTGATAAACGACCACCACTGCCACTGCTAGGCCTCCTCTAGGATGTTGGTACATTGTGAAAACACCTTAGGAGATCAGAGCCTCTCCACTAAATTCCTTCCCATCAAAAGACTAAAACTTACTGCTTTTAAGAAAACAAAACCTAAGGTAAACGTGGTATAATCAAGTAGAAAAATTGTTGAACGCTTCAATAACAGACAAAAAAAAAAAATTCTAACCCAAGCTAAAATATAATACACCATATTAAATCAAGTTTTTAATCTTTGGAACTGAACCCACACAATCTTACAAAAAGTATTACTCATGTACTAACATACGTACTACTTGACAAAAACAAAAGACTTTACACCAGGTGTGGCAGCACATACATGAACCCCAGAACCTGGGAAGTTGTGGCAGGAGGATGATATAGACTGAGTTTAAGGCTGGTTTGAGCTATATAAGATCCTGTCCAAACCAAAAGGGGGGGAAGAAAAAAAAGAGAAAGAAAGCGAAAGCGAAAGGGAAGGCGAGAGAAAGCGAAAGGGAAAGCGAAAGAAACGAAAATGAACGGGAAGGAAAAGCGAAAATGAAAGGGAAAGAAAAATGAAACCGAAAGGGAAAGAGAAAGCGAAGGCGAAAAGCGCGAGGCGGGCTCCGAGACCCAGCGAAGCCTCTGTGGCCACGCACTCGCCGGGCCCCTGTCAATGCAGCGCCCAGCGCTGTGCTTTTCTGCGGAGTAACCGGCCAGAGACGTGAGAGGCCTCCACAGAGACACGCACACAGGTGCCCAAGGCGGACGGCCTCAACCTGTCGGCGGAGGGCGGCCACCTCTAGGCCAACACTGGGGCCTGCGGGGGTCCCGGGCGTTCACGGCCAGCCTGGGCTCCACACAAAGCAAGACCCTGCCTCAAAAACCCCGCCGTACATAAGTTTTCAAACTTCTTACCACAAAGCCGGGAGGCCGAGGCAGGCCGGCTGCAGAGCAGAGCGAGCCGAGGCGGGGGATGGGCGGCCGGCAGGCGGGGCCTGTCTCAGAAAGCCCCCACACACTTGTATTACAGTTAACACACACCCCACCAGCCTTCGCCATATGCTTTACTGTTACGCCCTTTCTAACATTCACTATTTTTGACCACCACACACACGTTCCCCAAGAGGCCTTCTGCAAACCCCGAGGGCGGGCGGGCGGGCGGGCCGAGGCGGCAGGGCCTCGTCTCACTCGCACACCTGCTCAGGTCAGAGCGCTCCCGGGTCCGGCTCCCGGGCCCAGGCGGGCCCCAGACCCACAATACGAGGCTTCAACATTCTGCGGACCGAAAAGCCTCACGCGCCAAGATGGCGGCGCACGAGGCGGAGGACAAAGCGGCTCCGGGATTCCCCTCCGGAGGCCGGAATCAGCCCGAGAGGAAGGCCAGAGGGAGCCCTGGGCCAGGGTGCTCTGAGCCAAGGGGAAGCCCACTGAGAAGTAAAGCGAGACACTGCGTCCAAGGCGGCACCTCCTCCCCGGGACTCACCGCTCCTGAGGTGGGGTTCGGCCCTGCAAACGCAGGGTCCCGCCGCGCAGGCTCCCGGCGGCGGCCGGCGACTCCAGGGGCCTCCGGGGGGAGGCCTGGCGATGGCAGCGAGCAGCGGATGTGAAGCGCGATGCTCACTCGCGGGGTCTGCCAGAGTCTCGCTCTTTCCTCGGGAGGGAACCACGGGCCTGCAGCCATCTTGGAGACGAGACGCGCAGCCTGAGGCGGGAACCCAGAACTGCGGCTGCTCCGCCTAGTGGCTCCCGCTAGTGGCTCCCCCTGGTGGCTCCCCCTGGTGGCTCCAGCGGGGTTAACACCTCAGAAGGCGCGGGAAGGCCGGGAGCCGAACGCGACTGACGGGCCTCCCACACAAAGTGCAGGCTGAGATTACCCACTACTCTGCCATAAAAACTACTGCTGGCTTGGTGGGACTCTGTCTCTGCATCTTGTCTGCCAGCGAAGGCAGAGACAAACCAATTAGTGGACTTTTTTTTTTTTTTTGGTCTTTTTGAGACAGGGTCTTATTTTGCAGTTCAGACTGGTCTCAAACTCACTTCGTAGCCCAGACTGGCCTAGAACTCACAATGGTCTTCCTACCTCAGCCTCCCAGTGCTGGGATTACAGGCATGAGCCACCTCACCTAGCTTTTTTTTTTTAAACCGGGAATTGAAGTCACTTGTGCTCATCAGGCAGGTGCTTTGGGGGGGGGGGGGGCGGGGGCGTGTCTTCTCCCTCCTTTCTCTCTTCTCCCTCCCTTCTCACATCTGTTTCAATTTTTGGTTTTCTTTGTTTCTCCTTCATTGTTTGACCTTGTTCTTATAAGTGTGAACGTGCTTTCAGCCTCCCTGTGACTCTGTTCTGTTCTCAACTCTTCCTTCACTCTTTCCCTCCAGTCTTCTACACTAGTTACCCAAAGTTCGAATGATTCCCTCTTGGTCCTCCAACCTTATTTCTTATCTCCCCCTCTTCCAATTCTATTTTCTAAATTTTAACCCCTGAGGGCAAAATTGACATTATATAATGCATATTATTTTAAAAGTGGCAAATTAAGGATTAGTTCAGGTTGTCATTTTCTAGGCTGTGTTTGATGCTATTGGTACTACTATACCAAAAATTGACGTAATTGTTCTAAACAGTTGTTGGTCCTGGTATTCCATGATTGAGATTGCCCAAGGGTCACAGAAAATTCTGTGGCACACTGCCAAAGAATCAGGGACTGGGCCAAACAACTTCCCACCTAGAACAAACTGAAGGGGTAAGATCTTTCAACGACTCAAAACCCAAAAGCCAGCTACACTTGGAAGATACCTCTGAGAGGTAGTCAGCACCTAAGGGTCTTAAATACTAGCAATAAAGCAACCCACCATAGGCAATTTACAAGCATCACTCCAGGAATTAAACTACTAAACAAAGAAACAAAAGAAATTAAGACACTTAGACAAAATGCAACCTTAGACATCCAGTTCATCAAAGGCAAATCCAAAGAGGAATGAGGTAAGACAATCAGAAAGCCTTCCACCAGGTCTCTCTGAAGTGGTAAAAACAAAGCCATTGAATGAGGCTCTGAACAAAATGAAACCAGAAATATCTCTCAGATAACTGCAGAGATGATGTCCAAAGTAAAGACTATGCTTAATCATGTTAGAGCAGATAAACCCACACACACACACACAAAAAAAATGAGCTTAAGAAAATTATGAAAGCTCAGCCTAGGAAAGAAACGGAATTCATAAAGCAGATTCAAGCAGATTAGGCCAATGTGAGGATAGAATCTGAGATACTGAAGGTATGTTTGCAGTAAGTGACCAGGAAAAAAGATTTCTTAAAAATAACAAGGGACCATGAGAAAGCAATCCAGCAGCTGCTAGATGAGACAAAGAATAACAAAATTGATTGGAGTCTATGAACAAGCAGGAGATATCACAAATGATATTAAGAAAATGTCACAGACCACATAGCGGAAAATTTCCTTGGTAGAGAAAAGATCTTGAACTTGACAGACAGATAAGGGTGGCATATAACTCCAATTAGCCGTGACCAAAAAAAAAAAAAAAAATCTATCTACAGCCAGGTGTATCATAGTAAAAATGCCAGAAATTCAACACAAGGATAGAATCTTAGGGCCGGGGATTTAACTCAGTGGCATAAATTAAGCGCCTCCAGAGGAAACACAAGGTTGCAAGTTCGATCTCTGGTATCCCCACACTCAAATCTTAAAAACTGTCAGGGAAAAGAAACATAGCACCTATATAAAGGAAAGCCCATCCTATAAAGGAAAGGTCATCGGAAAGAATCACAGCTCACCGCTCAGCACAAACTCTGAAGTCTAAGGAAGGAGAGTTTGGAATAAAGTAATCCAAACTCTAAAGGAAAAACAACTTTCAACCCTGATCGATGTATCCAGAAAACAATCTTCCAAAACTGATGAAGAAATAAGATACTTCCAGGACAAAGAAAAGCTGAGGAAATACAAAAACACCAAACCAACACTCTAAAATGTTCTAAAGGACATCCTAGAAAGAGATAATAAGGACTATACAGCCTCATGAGCTCCAACACAAGGAATCGACCAACCAAGGCAAACAATTAGAGGAAAGGGAAAAAAAGGGGGAAGGCGCCAACAGGAGAAGTCATGACAAGGAAAAGTCAATACGGTGGGTGTGGTGTCGCACTCCTATAATCTCAGTACTCAGGAGGCTGAGGCAGGAGGATTATTGCAAATTTGAGACCAGTCTTGGCTACAAAGTGAGCCCAAGGCCAGCCTGAACTGCATAGTGAGACCTTGTCTCAAAAAAAAAAGAAGGTTAAGTCAATACATATCAATTATAACCATTAACATTAATGGTCTCAATGCACCAGTCAAAAGACATAGAATGGGTCAAGAAGCAAGATCTAACAAACATGCTGCATTCATGAAACACATTTAATTCAAAAAGAAAGTCATAGACTGAAAGTCAAAACAAAATGCAACCCAGAAAAAAGCAGGATAGCAAACCAGGTGTGATGGTTCACACCTGTTATCATCCCAGCACTCAGGAGGCTCATGCGAGTTCGAGACCAG